AGTGGGTCGCATGGCCAACCCTGAGCCCAGAGTCAGAGCAGTGGGTCGCATGGCCAACCCACAGCCCAGGGTCAGAGCAGTGGGTCGCATGGCCAGTGCTGCTGCAGGCGGAGGGGGTGGCTGCCACGGAGCTCCTGCGAGCCCACGGGCTTTTCTTGGGTGCGCGCCTAGCAGTGGCAGGTAGGCTGCCTTGCTGTTATCCTCGCCGGGGCCTATTGCCACACGTTTTCTCTTTCACCCAAGTGTGTGTGCAATGGTATCTCTGTGTGGCTTTAATTTATTATTTCCTGATGGCAGATGGTGTAAAACACCTTGGCAGGTGTTTGCTGGAGATTCAGGTATCATCTGCGTCTCTAGGAAGGTGCCTGCAATTCTGAGCGTGTCCTTAACCCTTCCCAGTTATGCAAGGAGAGGGAAGCCGGCGGCTCTGTGAGCCTGGAGCCCAGATCTGAGCAGAAGCCTGGCTCAGTCGGGTGGCAGGCCCCATGGGCCCAGCCCTTCCCTGCACCTCTCTCCTCTTGGGCTCTGCCGGCAGGAGGGCAGCCAGCCCACTTCCTCAGACTTCCTGCTGTTGTCCTCTGCAACCTCACAGCCCCCTTCCTGGGTCCTGTGCTGCTGGGCAAGGGCGCAGAGCGCCGGCGTCATGCGGAGAGCTGGAATCAGAAGTCTCTGTCCGTCTGGAGAAGACAGCACAGCGCCTCCAGCAATCACAGTTCAGTCCCTCGAAAGCTCACGCGGGAGGGTGTCCACCAGGTACTGCTCATTGAAGAGCTAGCAAGGACATGCGTTGCACTCTGTCATATTCAGAGTAAGGAGGATTTTGATATATTGAACACTTGAATTCTCTGAAGTCATTTTAACTTTTATTGTTGAGAAAGAATAATGCTACACTCGGTATTTCCATTAGCAGTGTCTGGAGGCATCAGCACTTATGAACAGATATAATACAAGCAGATTTTCATGTCAGAGAGCCTTTGCTATTACAAAACTTCAAGTCATGCTTCCCTTCTGTTCTAATGTGAATAGTTCTATATCGAGCAAAGCAGGATCTTGTAATGTGGAAATTGTTAGGAAAAAATGAAACACCAGGTTGCTTTTGGCCCGGCTTAGCTTGGGCTATTTTTAGCTCTTGCCTTATTAAGTGCTGGCAGAGACAGTGACGTTATCAGATG